AAATCCACTGTTCCTTTGGAATGTAATAAATTGTTTGCTGTATTGCATCAGAGTTTACCCAATTCAATAGCCTTTGCATTTGATAGCTTATCAGAAAGTAACCAGAAGAGAATGACCTATCTACTTTCCCAGTATAAGAAATAAGTATGGATTATTTACCAAAAATGGAACATTCATGGAAATCATTCCATTTTGTCATTCCACTGATATAAACATTATTTAAGGGAGGAAGAAGAAGAAACAGAACTGGACCATCACTTTTTTAAAAAAGAAAAGGGGCCTCTGCAGTAGTAGTGAAACTGGTGGTCCTCCAGGCTGACTGGCTGTAAATTTTATTCATTGATGAGCCTCAGGAAACTTTGGTAGTTTTCCTACAGAAAATAATATATACTTTTTTATCACTTTTATTTAATTTCATTATGGAGTATATAACTAAGACCCAATTCTATCATGTCCTAACTCAGTGGTTCTCAACCTTTCTAATGCCGCGACCCCATAATACAGTTCCCCATGTTGTGGTGACCCCCAACCACTTATACATCACCGGGTGCCAGGGGCGTGGCCAAAGAAAAGGGGAAAAAATGGCGGGCAGCCTTGTTTGGCGACCCCCGTGAAATGGTCGTTCGACCCCAAATGGGATCCCGACCCACAGGTTGAGAACCGCTGTCCTAACTGAAGGAGAATAAAATATAACATAATACCTCAATGGACATTCATGTACGGTATTTTTCACAGTATTACAATTCTGCATCACAAAAAATACTTAGCAGAAAAATCAGACTATATGATCATTCTTCCATTTGATTAGGTTGCCATGAATAAATCCAATTATAAACCTTTTTCTTAGTATTATATATGACTTCAGCTGCACTATTACCATGATGTTTCTCACAATGCATAGAAGCTAGCATTAAAAATTGACCTTTACTTGTAATATACTTCTTGTTACCACATACTGAAAACACTGGCAGCCCCGTGTTTAGGACTAAAGGCAACTTACTAGGAACACTATATATATATATATATATATATATATATATATATATATATATATATATATATATAATGTACAGCAATATGCATAGTACTTCTGTCAATTGATAAAATAACTGAGACAAGTGTGAAGATGAATCACAGCATAGTGCATTTTATGCATTCATATTTCTTTTTCTATTGTCGATAGAAAAGGAATGAAATGCTATTCCTTTGTTTAGAAATATCATTGTTATTCAAAGCCATATGAATATGAAAATATTGTTCTACAAATCATTTCATAACCATTCTTCATGAAGTTTTAAAAGAACTGTTCCTTAATTTTAGTATTTACTACCAGCAGTTTGTACATTATGCTGAAATTTAGATTAAATTAGACAATAAACCATTTTTCAAGAAAATTGATAAGTTCATTTTAATTCTTGTGCAACACTTCCAAGAACTGAAAATATAGCTAAAGCTTTCCAAAATTTCTATATGAAAGAATATTTTATAAACAGTGATGGGGGAATATTTTATAAACCATATATTTCCATCACCCATTGTCAAGGTAGGAGTTGGAAAGTTTAGTTGTCAGAATCAATTTTTATTTTGCTGTTTTCAATGGTTCATTGGGGTGGCAACATACACTGAAATAGGCTGCAGAGGCCTGGATGGGGAAGAATGATTCAGAAGTGTTTCAGGCAGACAGGAATGTGAGTGTAGAAAAGCAGAATCTTGTAGAATGGCTAGACTGAAGTAACAGCCAAGCTAGAGTGAGGAAAGGGAGGAGAGGAGAGAAAGACAGGCTATTCAGGTGCAGGCTACTTATGAGACGAGCAATTTATCAGTTTATAATGTGTAAAAAATCCATTGTGTTGAGATCTTCTGGGATTGTTTAAGATACTTTTAATTTAACTTTGCTCTGATGTCCCATTTTTCCCCAAGGCATTTTGAGTAGTCAAGTATAGATTGTCTTGGGAAACTGAAATTATCTTCCTCCTCCTCCTCCTCCCTTCTTCTTTCATCTTTCTTTTTCTCTTTGAATGTGCTTCAGGGTGGTTGGTTGTTTGTATTCAAGAATGGGCCTGCCACCTATTGTCTTAGAAAGTGCAGTGTCACAGTTCAATATGAGCTATACATTATTAATGTGCATGAGTGGTTTGAGCTGTGAGTTGTAGATAACAACTAGAAGGTTTCTCTTATTCTGTGTCTGTTATTTGCTTTAAATTGGTCTTCCATGGGAATTGATATGGCTCTATTGATTAATTTGTTGATCTTGTTGGGAGGGTAGTTCAGTCTTCCGAATTCCTAGTTTAATTCCATTAGTTCAACATCTCTGACATGAGGGCCATATCAAGTAGGATTGTACTGTTAAGCTTAGCTATAAAGATATATTGGGTGGTGCATCTGGAGAAGTAAGCTGGAAGAATATTGGTAGGCTTCACAATTTGTAAGTTTCTTATCTAATGTAGTATTTATTTGATATTGTGTATCTTTATGGTAATATCAAGGAAGGGTAGACATGACTAAGTTGAGGTTGATGGTAAGGTGGAAGTTGTTGAAGGCATGATAGCATTTGATGAGAGATTTATTTCCATGAGTCCAGTTAATGAAAATATGAATCTCAATCTTTGTGTAATAATTGACAAACTCTTATTCTAGGCCAGCTATTAAGATGTTGGCATATTGATAAATTATGTATACCTATGGCTGTGCCACTGATTTGCATATCCATGTTATTGCCAATGGTTAAATAGTTTACCATTACTCCACTATTTTTTTAAAGTAGCTTGATGGTTTTTAGGGTTCCATACTATTTTTTCTCCACAGAAATTCAGAGCATTATAATCCATTGGAAGAGGCTTTACATGGGACTTCCTGTGATTATGTATCTTTGTTTCAGTTTATGATTTTAATGTCTTTTTAAAAACTTTATATTCCTTAATGATGTATTATTGTTAGTTAGAGATATAGGCCACCTTCAATCATGTTGAGTGAGTGGATATATACATTGATTATTTGAATGAATGAATGAATGAGTAGTCTTATATCCTGATTTTTTACTATAATTCACAAATTGTTTCACTGCATTTTTAACCAAACAATACCTTCCAATAAAAAAAAGGATTCCAGCAGAAACTGACCTCAACTCAAGAGCTGGTTCTCTGCAACATTCGGAAAAATTCCACCCTGAAGTAGGCATCTCTTTGCCTATCATTTTCTTCTTTGATCTATCCTGTTTCTGCCTCTTCTGTGCCACAGGGTAGTCCGTATTAGATGACTCTTCAAATGAGGCTTGCTTTAATGAATATGCATTAAATTGAGCTCATTAACATTACTGTTCAGGGAACATTTGTCAGCGGCCCCTTTGATGAATTTAGGGAACTCTACAAACTGTCAGTTTTCTTTATTTGATTTACTTGTTAAGCATTACTTGGAGGAAGAGATAAGATAATAGCTACCCCACCCTCACAAAAAAAAGTCTAATTAAGCTTTAAATTCCTTAAAATCAACATGATCTAATAACTTTCTATGGAGCTTGACTTTTGCTAGGTTCAGTCATTCAGTGATCTATCCCATGACATTAGAGACCTGCAGCCACCCTAATGGTCAATAAATACCATTACTATTCCAAACTAGAATTTCATTACCTGTGGGCTCTGTGTCAAAATCCCCAAAGCCTCAAAGAGAATCCAAAGCTTCTGACATTTACAAAGCTGTTTCTAAAGACATAAAGACATAAAGAGAGTGAAAGGTCGTCACAGCCAAAGATACTGAAGAACTGCAGACATGAAAATATTGCTGCAACTAAAGTTTAAAGGAAGAGCTGTTTTACAGAACAAAGTTCTCAATTTTGCAATGAATAATCACTGTAATCCTTTCCAGAGGGCAAAAAACGTGTAGCCTATTCTGGTTGTAGCTGCACATAACTAGTTAAATGCAACAGTGAGTGGCACACCCTCATCTATTTTCAGCAGTGAGGATCTATCTCAGTAGACCCCTGGCATTCATTCAGAAAGATTTAATCAAGTAGAGAAGTAAATATGCTCATAAGCCTTTGGGGGAAAATAAACAACCAAAAATGAATATAATCTCATGTTTGGTCAATGAGCTGAAGACTTCCTTTTGTTCCTCCCAAAACAATCTATAATAGATAGTTTAGGGATTATCTGTAGAGAGCAGGAGCAAAATCATAGACAGCATTATCTATGCAGCTGCAGTATTGCAGTTACCGATAAATATAGCCAGTTTCATCTTATCTAAATTATGAAATAATGACTCTTTCATATCCAAAACCAAATTTTAGGAACAATGTCACCATTATCTAAGTAAGCAGCTTTAGGATCAAATCATATTAGAACCAAACTTGACAGCATGGGCTGCAGTCCAGTTTGTCCCCCCCCTCCTTTTTCTAACAAACTTTGTGTTTTTGTTGACAGAACTATGTATATGTATTACATAAACTGGGAATGTTTTTTTTATCTGCTTCAAGCATCTTCAGAAGATAATGTTATAAAACTTCACAATCCTTCAAGATGTGTGTGAACTACAATATTTCACATGATGGTACATACTGATGAAAGAGTACCAAATTTGGTCTAAGGACAATAATGGCAACAGTTCACCAGTTATATTACAAATGCCACAGATCTGTATACATCATAAAAGTAAATAAGTATTCCCAATTCTTTGGTTCCCAAAGAACTACATAACCATGCACTACTAGTTCCAAATGGTATGAGGAGATAAAATCAAAACTAAACAATCAAGTACAAAGTGTACTTTTGGTATTATCAACTTATCCATTTTAGATCTCTGCCTGAGGCTCATCAACAATAAGAAAAAGGTACATTAGATTCCTGAGGTTTTACTATTTAGACATCCAAGCAAATGTTGAATGCTGGAGGCAATAAAGCACCTTAAGCTAATCTTTTACTCCTCTTTTGGGAATATACGTCACATTTTTTTTCTGGAAAAAAGTAATAATAAGGATAAACATGACTACAAAGAAATCCTCTTACTTCAGTTTGTTGATCGCATATCTTTGGCACAGAGACATGACTGAAATACACCAAGCTGGTTTTATAGGGCCAGTCTATAAATGTGCAAAGCCACCAGTCTTCTGGTAAGAATTAATGATTAAATATGACTTAAATATGACTCATCGAGCTCATGAACTAATCACTTCCATTGAAAGAAAATATCGTAAGGTTTGTATGCAGGCTGACAACTGGATAGTAGACTTGACATTGTCTACCTCTCTGTATCATCAACTTAATATTTCATTGTTTTCTTTTCTTGATTTCCAACTTTTCACTTTCATCCATGTTTAATATGTTAGCAGAATAGACAAATTCTGATACTATGATAACTATGCATTTTTTAATATATACAACAAAGAACGTTCCTGAATGTAAGGCTTGTAAGGATGGATTATTAGAAAAGGGATATTGTTACAATGTAATTTGTATGGGAAATCTTTTATTGGAAAAAAAGTAATCTTAACATCTTTTCTAATAACAATTATTAAGAACATATCCTGCATATTCAGTGATATACATAAATGCTGATCCAGATATTAATATTATGAATTGACATAATATTTGTGGAAGCTTTTTATATATTACTTTTCAGCTTAATAGAAGCTAAGATGAATTTTGCAGGTAAGCTATGTGCAAAATAATAGCACTTTTTAAAAATCATGCTATTAAATATGTCAGCCCTTGTCCAACCACAATTGTATAGAAAACATAGTACTTTGCCTTCTATTTAGTTACACTTGGCAGAAGTGAAGTACTTCTGCTACATGTGAGACACATTTGCCTTCTTTAATTACATTTTTTTAAAAAAAGATATAAAGGAGCATAACCAGCTAAAAATATTTTTCTGAACAGATCAGCTTTGCTATTCTTAAGCTGAAACAGAGTAACAAAATATAGTAATATGAAGGAGCTTTGCTGTTGACATTGTTGCTATTGAGTTGAATAACAACCTGTCTTTTTGCCCAGAGAATAGGTAGTTTAGAAGGGTGTTGACTACGTGTAAACCAATAGGTTGATCACTCTCTGGTTTTTGTTTCACTTTGATAGATAGTGCAACATAACCCTTTAGCACTGAAACTGTAAACGGAGAATACAATGGATGAACAAATAACCATCTTCTTTTTATAGCTGTCCCAAAACTTCTATTTGTGTGTGTGTGTGTGCAAGTTTCTCTGACTCTTTTTTCTTCTTGTATTTTATATAATGCATAGCCCATATGACAAAGAAGGAAGAATATGAAACAATATCTCATATTCTCATTATACCTGTCTGGATTACTACATAGTAATGATATGCTCAACATGGGGCTGCCTTTAAAGGCTATTTAGAAAGTAAAGTTGGTACAAAATGCAGCGGTGCATTTACTTAGTGGTAGTTTATACCGTGCACATATTGCATCAACGCTTCCAGTCTCACACTGGTTTCAAGTAAATCTCTGGGTGCAAATCAAAGTTCTATAAACTAAGATACGTGCAGAACTACCTTCTCTGAGAAGAATCAATGTATCTGCTATGAATTATAGGGACATTTACTAATTTCTGCAAAACTGGGGGAAGCAAGATTAAGAGGAGATACTGTTTCACCATAGCCCCCTTTTTATGGAAGAACCTTAATGGGAAGTACAATTTGCCCTGGATCTTGCTACTTTTCTAGAAGTTGGTTAAGGTAGAACTCTTCTGGAGGGCTTTGAATCACTTAATTAACAATACCAGAATGTTAAATGTTATGGAGACAGTGCTTTACTCTAAATGAATGATACATTTTTAAGAATATTTCTTCTATTTTATTTTATATTCTGTTGCGTATTGTATTTTTTTTTTATTTCTGGAATCCCACCAAGAGGCACAAAATTGTAATAGATTAAAAAGGAAAGAAAATCAATCAATAAATAAATAAAATGCATCAAGTGAAGGTATATACAGCTCTGTAGTAGAGCATTAATCAGGGAAGACTGATTAAAGATATCTCATACAGCCATAGAAGAAGTAGCTTCAGTGGGAAGAAACAGTAATCAGTTTGATGAACTAATACACAGTCCTCTAGTTGTTTTCAAACTATAATTCTTCTGCAGGGCAAAAAGGGAGTTAAACTTTATGCAGATCCTAAACTGATCATGTAGATTTGGTGAGGGCAGATTTTCCTGTGAACCTTTCCAATCAATATTAAATAGAGGGAGGTCATGTTTGATCATTTAGGTTCAGGATAATGTAGAAACATAGGAAAGTATGGGATGGGTTCAACACACACTGATCTTAAAGAAATAATCTACTTGAATACATACAATATACTGATAAGCTAAAGAAGCATCACATTAAATACTATTCTGTCTCACTCACACACGCACACACGCACACACCCCAAGGGTTTGAAGCTGTTCTTGAGACTTCATCAGCTCCAAATAGTATTCCTCAGGATTCCCCACACAGGAACCAGAACAAGACCCAATGAATCCACTTTCCCAAGTCAGGGAAAACATGCAGCAAATCCAGTAAATTAAAATCCATGGTCCAAAACACAAATCCCACAAGCCAAAATCCAATCCCATAAGGCAAAGCCCAGAAACAGTCAAAGGTGAAGTTCCAAGACAAGGTTCACAGTGGCTGGACAAACACAAAATGGAAGAGTTCTACATATGTTTCCTCTCTGCTCCACTTGCAAGGATAAATAGCTCCTAGCCAATGCAACTATTTAGAAGGGATGAGGCTGCCTCTTTGCAAGTAGCCTCACCAACCTCCATTGCACTTCTCTTCTCTCAACCCTGTACACCCTAGGACCCTGAGAGCAGGCAGCTCCTCCTCATCCCTGCTCATCAGTTGCAGCTGTGCCCCTTCTCTGCTCTCTGTTTCTAACTGGCTTTTCAAGCTTCTTGGCTGCAGCTGCATTTCTTCCTTCCCATTGTCATCCAGCTGCTCATCTGATCCTTCTGAAAGTCCTGGTCTCCCCTCCTCTTCTTGCCCATCTCCTCCTGGTTCAGAGTCCCCCATGTCTTCCAGATGCTCTACCATGCCCTCTTAACAAGTTCCTGAAGCAGGCTCTTCTCTATCATTTGAGCCTGCTTTGGAGGCATCCATGAGAAATGCTGTTGAAATGATATGACTGACTTAGCTGACTACCATCCTGGCATATTTGCTGATCCCTGGGAATTATTATTGTAAACCTTGATTGCAAACCCAATCAGAGTTGGCGGGAGCTTACTCCACTTTTTTTTTCATTGTTCAATTTTCTCTGTAATTGTTTTTTTGGGGAGGATGGGGGGTTAAAGAAAGAGAGAGAGATGGGATTCCTAGAGTAGTCCTCTTTTTATAGACTTGCCAAATAATTTCCTTTTTCTGTTGATAGTTGGAACTAAAAGATAACTTTTTGCTCTGTTCATTTGCCACAGCCAACTAGGAGATAATAGTTAAATCCTAAATAACTCAAACATTTTTGGGGATACAATGCTCACATGATACAAACAATCTCCACATATGACCCATTTAAGTATGCTGTGGCAACATAGCCGAGAATGGTGTTTGAATTTCAATGAAATTTCTAGACGGAAAAACTCTCCATTTGAACTTGGTTTCTGCTTCCTAGGGGAAAGCTAGAATCAATATTTCAAAACTACAGTTACAAAGGGTTTTCCTAACAGTCAGCTGTGTGGGAGGATCAAATCAAAGTAAGGAAAAGCCCAATCTTGAGTTTTAAGGCAGTAGCAGCAGGTTTTTTAAAGGAAGAAACTAAGAGAAAACATTTTCTAAATGAATTGAGAAGTACAGGTCTGATCTCAGAGTTTGTAAAGCCCCCAAATCCTCTTTCTATACCAGTGCTGTTGTTTTTCTTAGTCTATTATCTTGCCCTTTGGGTTCCATTTGATTTTTAGGAGATAGTATTGCTTTCTTCTCCATAGTGGAACCCACAGATTCATCTTCTAATTATTCATTTGGCAACTATAAAGACAAGAGAGGAAAAAAGGTTCTGTAAGTGATATAAAAAAAACCTTTGGCACATTAATTGGATAAACATTATTATACAAATATTCTTCAAAGAATAAGGAATAATGGTACTATTTTTTTCTCTTATTCTTGTTTGTTTTTATTTATTTCATTTATGTAGCCACCTATCTCAACAAGTGGTTCATCTGACTCTGATTCTTCCTTCTAGGTAAGAGTTAGATGAGGAATTATTGGTGGATGAATAGAAGGCAACCAGCTGATGGGATGAGCAGGTGAGAATTCCTGTGAGAGTTAATTTGTATGAATGAGTTGTTTGAATGCTATGGCTGTGGATAAGTGATAGCTGGGTACCCTGATGAGACCTAGTGAAGCTAAATTGATTCCCTCCTTAAATTGATTGGGGATGACAGTGAGAGGTCCTTGATATTTTTTTTTGGGGGGGGTGGATTTGGGGATGGAGCTGCCATGTAGGAATGGAGGTAATAGAATTACTGTAGTGATAGGGGGAGATTTGATGATAGAAAACAAGTGGACTGCTCTCAGGGAGCTCAAGACCATTGCCTTATCCAGCTTTGTGTTCCAGTATTCTGTCCAGTATTCCAATATTCTGTCTAGTATTCTGTGGCCCTGGATTCTGGCTACTGCTTCTAAAAGCCAGGTCAACCTGTAATAAGGCCTCCCTCATCAATGATTTAGTTATGGATGAGATGGCCAACCTGACTTGTATTACTGAAAGGATTCAGAAGGGGAGATAATCTATTTGGAGATACACCCAGCTAGGTGTTAGGCATCAGCTGAGATTAGCAATGTGGCAAATGTCACAGGAATTGTAACACTGCCGACCTTGGTTGATGTCACACCTGAAACAATGTTACAGTATTATAATGATTGTGTTTTAACTGGTTTTATTTGATTGTTGTACAATGCCCAGAATCACTTCTTATGAGATAGGTGGCTATACAGATTTGATAAATAAATAAAATATTGCTTTTATAGTGTGTGGTGTAGTATGAACCCCCAGAATTATTTGGAGTCAAGGAATATCTAATAAAACAAAGCAAAGGGATGGTGGCTCAGTGGCTTAATGATGCTGGAGATACTATCAGTTCTGGTAGTTTGAGCCCTCGTTCTGTGTGCCAGGGTGGGCTCTATGACCTGCCTCAGCTTCTGTCCACCTAGCAGCTTGAAAGCATGTTTTATGCAAGTAGATACTGTAGATAGGTCCCACTTTGGTGGGAGATGAGTTGGTGCTCTGTGTAGGCATTCAGATTCCTGATGGATCCGAACCTTCCTGGTTGCAGTACCCACTTTTGAGGCAGCTCTGGGAAAGAGGGGGACTTTGGGTGATGCTGCAGAAGTTGTTCATCTTTCTTTCTGGTGCAAAGCCAGTTCACTCTCCCATGGCATACCTTGGGAAGCATGCAAGTATTTCCTATAACAGGGCTTGTTCCTTGGCAAGCCAAACTATTAATGCTGCAACAGCATTATGGTCTCCTGGCTACTGTAAAAACACCATAGAACAACAACAACAACAACAATAACATTCTATTACTATCAGGTGTAAAACACCTGTAAAAACACCATAGAACAACAACAACAAAAACAAAAACATTCTATTACTATCAGGTATTAAACTATGAGATATTTGTTGCAATAAGATTAAATTATTCAAATTAATTTACAAAGTTTTGTTAAATACATATGTATCTATACAAATGTCCTGTTGGATTCAGCTGGGATTTTTGTTAAGGATACTTTAATAGTTGTGAATACTCTTTTGTTTAGATTGTTGTTGTTAATTGCAAAGTCGTGTCTGACCCATTGTGACCCCATCGACAACTTTCCTCCAGGCCTTCCTGTTCTCTACCAACTTCTGGAGTCCATTTAAACTCATGCCTACTGCTTCAGTGTTTGCTTAGATAACACTCTCTTATGAATTTTCACAACCAGGTTTCCTCTACTGTAGAGTAATAGTAGTAGTGTCAGCATTTATTTGTCTTCTTGTTTCAATCTAAACAATTCACAAGGTGGTAGGAAAGAAATTGACAGCAGCTAGTTTCAGCTACATTGCACAAGCAGGCTTTGTTTCGAAAGGCCTATAAGATCTGCAAAATAAATTCTTTTACTTCTGTGTGCTATACATGTATTGTTTTAGGAGGAAAATAGTGACAATGCTGACACTCCTTTAAACAAGAGAATATAAAAACACTATTCATTTGAAAATTTTGGATCTGGTGGTTAACCTAAAGCTTGTAGAAATGAAGGCAGAATGGCCAAAGAGTAGCCAAAGGCATTATTCCCTGTTGGGGAAAAATAAAAGAGAGAGAGATAAAGAAACAATCTTTGCATTCTGTCTGGTAATAGAATATGAAATTAAAGCATGAAGGGATTAACGTTTGAAAGCTTGACTTGATGTGATAAAGCTAAAGGTATTAGAAGACACAACAGAGCTGTTACAAAATAGACAAACACAGGCAAAGCATTGGAGGGAGTCAGCCTAGAATGGAATTGCAAAACGATGAATCAATACAAAGGGAAATTGTCCACTGAAAAAGACTTTGGTGAGTCTTCTTGAGGGATCAGGCATTGCAGCAGGCTGTTTAAAGATAATGAAAGAAGCCCAGCAAAAGCAAAGAAATGCATTTGATTCTGTCCTGAAGTCATTTGTGAACAGTTTAAATTACCCTAATCACTTCCCCTCCAGCCGTTGGTACTGTATGTGCTGTCTCTTTAGTTATTTTTTTAAATGTTTGGGGAGGGTTATTTTGTAAATGTAAGCTGCAGAATAATTATACACACACCATTTTAGCATTTTAACAATGCAATCCCAAACATTTGTTCCCATTAGAATGCAAATCAACTGATTTAATAATCCCACATGAGAATTTTCCCACATTCGGCTTAAAAAGTACAGTACTATTCAAAATATTAATAGATGCCAAATACAGAAAGTTCTGTACCTTCCTAACAGCTAATGGTAGACTTAATTTTTAAAGTAAGGTTTTCATTTCTAACTACTGTCCTTCAACTAAATTTTAATTGGAATTTAATAAAGAAAAGGGCCTGGGATGGACTTTGAAATAAAAAAATATGATGACTATATCATTTGCTTAATGCATGAATAGTTATGCTTCTTTCTCATATAGTTATACAAATCAGTTTAGCATTTTGCCTTAAGTAGCATTTAAAGTTAAAAAGCCATTTTGTTGTTAATACTTTTAACATCTGGTGCAGGTTCAAAGCAATATTCTAAACTGTTTTACTGAGCTTTATGAACAAGAACAGCTTTAGATGTGACAGAAAGTGCAGTTTTCATACAATAAATTTGGGACTTTAAAAAAAAAACAAATCTGAAAATTAAGATTTTCAGTGAAATGATATACTTGTAATGTACTCATATTTCTAGCCATTGTATTCTCTGGGAAAGCAAGAATGTATTCATTCATGCAATACACACACACACACACACACACACACACACACACACACACACACTTTAAAAATGCTATTTTACTCTGAGTGGTTTTAGGAGATGCAACCGGTAATAGTGCAGGAGACTCTTGCTTTTTGAAATAAATAGGATGAATTAAACTTAATAACATACCGCCTATTGTACATTTCTCCAAGTTTTAACAGCACATTTCCTGGCTCAAAAACTGCATTAGAGCATATATAGAAACTTATATAGAAATGTTCATATTAGGGAAGTTGTGTCAAGACTGTGCATGCTAGAATGAACACTGTAGAAATAAATGTGAAATTTCCTATTTCTTTTCTTTTCTCTTTTTTATTCACAGGATGAAATATAAATTGGATGGAATGAACGTTTGATGAAATACATGAAAAATGGATATGGACTGGGAATTTAATCAGTAATTTAGGCTGAGGTCCTAAATTAGTGCCATTGAATTCAGAACGACTTAAGGAAGCTTGGGCAAATGGCAAAGCTAATCAGTTTGGTCAGGGCAAATAAAATAAAATAAATATTTTTTTATAAAAAAAAAAGACTGGAAGCCTTATATGGACATTTTTTTTTTTTTTGTTGAAAGAAGAAAAAACCAAATTGATGGTTTATGGATTTGGGGGAGTAAACAGAGTCAAAGAGGAAGAGGAAATAATGAGATGGTGATTACTTGATAGAAAGAAGGATAGGAGTCAAATTCTTTGTTTTCTTTCTTTTCATTTTTCTTTTTGTCCTTTAGATGAGAGGATAGATGGGAAACTCATCAGATTTGCAGATGGCACCAAGCTGGCAAGAATAGCCAACATTCCAAAAGACAGGCTTAAGATAGTGAAGGATCTTGACTAAAGTTCTACATTTAAGCAAGAAAAAACAAATGTACAGATATAGTATAGGTGGTACCTGGCTCAATAGTAATAATTATGAGAGGGATCTTGGAGTCCTAGTGGACAATCATTGAAATATGAGCCAGCAGTATGCTACGGCTGCCAAAAGTTTCAACACAGTCCTAGGCTTCATTAACAGAACTATAGAATTAAGATCACATGTCTTGGTAAGACCACTCTTGGAATACTGCATCCATTTTTGGTTATCATGATGTAAAAAAAAGAGACTCTAGAAAAAGTGCAGAGAAGGGCAACAAAGATGATTAGAGGACTGGAGACTAAAATATATAAGGAACGGTTGCTGGAGTTGGGTATGTCTAGTTTAATGAAAAGAAGGATTAAGGGTGACATGATAGCAGTGTTCCAATATTTGATGAATTGCCATAAAGAAGAGGGAGTCAATGTATTCTCCAAAGGACTGGAAGGCAGGACAAGAAACAATGGATGGAAACTAATCAAAGAGACAAGCAACCTAGAACTAAGAAGGAATTTCCTGACAGAACAATTGATCAATGGAACAACCTGCCTCCAGAAGTCGTGAATGCTCCATTCCTGGAAGTTTTTAAGAAGAGATTGGACAACCATTTGTCTGAAATGGTATAGGGTTTCCTGCCTGAGCAGGGGGTTGTTCTAGAAGACCTCCAAGATCCCTTCCAACTCTGGTATTCTATTCTGTTGTTTTTTTTGGGGGGGTTGTCATTGTTTATACTGATTTTAAGATTCTTTTAATTTTATATACTTTTATGGTACTGAAAATTTTTAATGAAAAACAAACAAAGTGGCCTTATTCATCAGCAGCTGTGTATGACATTATAGTGTTAGGAAGCTTGCTAAGAAAGAAAGCTTCATTAATTATGAAAAATACTTTGGGAGACACACTAGAGTCTTGCTGAGTTTCATTTAGCAAAAAATTACATTGCTGAAACAATGGCAATATCAAGATTCATTTGTTAGAAGTAACAGGTGGATATACATCTTCAACATATCTCATTAAATTCAGAACCAGCTGTATAAGAGGTAGTTTCCAATATATTATGAACAGTGTTTCCTAAATAAATTATTTTTCAAAAGCATGTATTCAAGAAAGATGTCAACGCTGCTAACATTGGATGTTTTTGCATTGACAACAGATGGAAATGTAGCCATCTTTTTCCTTTTGCTTTTAGAGTTGGATGATGCTAGGAGGGAGGACATGAATGAGAGTCTAGCTAGACATAACACACAAAACCTAGTGTGAGAAACAAGGTTATTGTAACCAGAGCTGATAAGGATTTGGTGGGCCTGGAGAACCGAAAAGGAAGCCTACGCTTCAAGCTAATTGGGGAATGTGATTTATTTTCATTTTTTAAAAAAACAAGTTTTATTAATTTTCCAATTTTACAAAGCTCCAGTTATTAAGGAAGCAACATGGTGATTGGGTAAACCATAGTCCAATAACAGGCACTTTCATACATATGTCAGATTACATCATCAAAAATTTCCTCTCTGTTTCCATTGGTTATTATATCACATTCAAATTAATACATTGCTAGTTATAACTCAATAGGTTAAAACATTTATCAATATCTTTTGACTTAAATGCCTCCATGTCCTGTTTCTAACTTTTATCTAATTTCAGTTATAGTATTCCAGTTAGCGTAATGTCCATAGTATTTAGGTTTCGGATAACCCACAGTTCCCTTAGTTCATTACAAAATAGTTATCATATCTAAGATACACTTATTATTTACTCAGATAAATTCTTACTTTATTTCACAATCATATTCTATTTCTCATCCTAATATCATCACTTACTAATAAAATAACCTTTATCATCATCAATCCATCTTCTATATTATAATTCAAAACTATTATTCTAATAACTAGTTTTTATTTCCCTTATAGGTCTAAATCCTAAATATCTGGTTCCAGATCGCGGCACCAGCAGACGTATCGACAGAGAGCTCTTTCTGCCGTCTGGTTTCCTTTTGTCGGTAGACCCTGGAAAGGGTCTAAAGCCACCATGGAGGGGCGACCACCGCTGAGGAGGACCCTCGACAGATCATGGAAGGGTGGCAGCCGTTCCCTTTGATCTGAGGCAGCTCCTTTGGACTGATGAAGAAAAGATCAGCCATTAACATGGTCAATCACTAAGTCGTTCCAGCCAAAAGCCAAAAGCACTACCAAGCACAACAAAAGCAACATGGAGGAATTGGGTGAGGCTTTACCTTACCTTTCTTGCTTTCCAACTACTTTCCTGTAAAAACCTTTGGAATTTTTTCCCCCTTTATTTGGCGGCTTCTGCCTACTCTTGGAATATAAAGCTATGGAAAACAAGCAAAAAAAAAAAAGAAAAGAACTAAACTAAACAACGAAATAACTGGACTTGTAATTTTTGGATACCTGGGTCCCAAAAAGTTTCTATTCCTACAGAGACTTACTATCTTACCTATCAGTTAAACTGGAAAAAAAGAAAGAATATTTTTTCTTTTTAAAAACTGGATAAAAGCCTGACTTGAGTTTGGGAAAAGATTTAACGTGTTATTGGTGACATCTTATGGTGAAATTTGGTACAGCAAGTGATTTTCTTTTCTGACTGGGAGACCTGTGAGACTAAGATTTGTCCTTGACACTATCAAAAAAGATAAGAACTTGAAACAGCTGGGTGGTGAAAACAACTCTCTATAGTGGAGGTGTAGATTTATTGGCTTTTATCAAAAATAGCCTCCACTAAAGGACTATCTGTAAACACCACAGAAATGGAGGAATACTACCCACAACTTAACTACAAACTTTTACTTGAAAAAATTCTAGAGGCTACTGAGCTAATGAATTCCAGACTGAAAGATAAAGGCACCACCTTAAAGCTACAAAATGCAGTCCAGATTTCAACTGATGAACTTACAACTCAAATGCAACAGAAAAATAAGGAATTAACACTAAAATAGACTTTAAAGAATACCAGCTACAACCTACTCAGAACTCTGATAACCAAGCCTTGATTTCAAAAAAAAATGTGCAATTCTAACACCAAAAGAAACTGAAGGAAGCAATACTCATATGGAAGGTGCTGAAGACCTACATACACACCACATTGAGAATTTAGAGAACCCAGACAACCAAATAACAACTACAACATTGAACATGACTTTTTACTTAAATCAGCTGAAAGTGGAACAAGAAGAAGACCAGTCTGAACTGATGACAAATATACTTTAAACCCCTCCAATCCATACATGAAGCAAACTGACACTCTCCATGAAGATGAGGCACGACCATGAACGCAAAGCCAAAAAATAGCAAGGCAGCTCAACATCTTAAACTCCCCTGCAACTCAGACTAACCTAAACAGCTAAGACCACACATTGCTCCTCGAAGCATGAAGCTGAAAACATCAGCCTGAAGATGACGAATGGGACTTCGTCGAAACGTCGCCAAGACACTTCCAATTTTATGCGGGAGAAAACCTGAACAACCAAAGACCTACATACAAACACCCGCGAAAACCTCAGAATATATATGTGTGTGTGTGTGTGTGTGTGTGTGTGTGTGTGCATGCGCACGCGCGCGAGAGACCCATCTATCCTACAAGGTGGCTTAATTGCAGAAACAAGTGAAAAATAGATTAATATGAATCAACATTAAAATAGTTTTAAAATCAGTGCTAAAACCACACCTATAAGAGCCAAGAATCAAATCAGATGAGCTTCATCAATTTAAAAAAATTCTACTATTCCTGCAAATTTCATCCCATTTTGTTGAAAAGTAAAATGATAGCACTGCACTTTTTTCATGCTAGCTAATAGCAACCAGGACTCATTTCATACATAGAATCCAAAGCAATACCTTAGATTCATACCTAAATTCACAAAAAATGAACACTCCACAGGAAACACTATATTTTTTTCCCTATAAAGCAAATTATTTTATATAGCTGTTCTCTTATAACCAATTCTGAGAAGGTCCTAATCAAAAGATAATGTTTTAAATTAAGCACAAGAGCCATAGAAAATATTCCCATTTTTGTTTCATTTTGTTTTTCTGGCCTGGAACTATTACTGCTATCTAAATCTTACTGGTTTTCCTAAAATGTGCAGTTAACATTTATGGAAAGATTTCTGATTACATTATAAAACCTGACAGTTGGAAAAGATAAGAGGGAGAGCGTTTTCCTGGTGCATTTCTTGTCCATGTGAAACAATCCACACAATTACCACTTTATTTAGAAGAATATTTAACCTGGAAGCATTAAAGACTGTCAATGTCATGGCTTTGTTAGACTGCTGTAATTCATTTTATGTAGAGCTTCTTTTGAAGCAGTTCAGAAAGTACAGCGGGCCAAAATACAACAGATCATTATTGTCCAATAGCAGCTAGTTCAGCAGAATAAGACCTGTTTTGCAGGATCTGCAGCATTGCCGATAAGCAGTTAGACCCAGTAGAAGATTTTGATGTTTATCTATCAAACCTTACACAACTGGGTTTATGTTAGCTTCAGGGCTGATTTCTCCAAGTAGAATCCACCCACTTTACAAGATCTAGACATGACCATCCTCTGTGATATCTTTGGAGAAAAGGCCACCTGGGTTCCCTAGAAAGACATTCTCC